GTGGCCAACACAGACAAACCGTAGATGCATGAGGGGGGGGTAGCATATATATATATATATATAAACATATGTGTACATGGGGACAAATGGCATACACTAGGAACCGAATACTGCATGCAACAACAGTTTGATCCATTATACTTCTATATACATATATATATATATTGGACACCATATGCCTTGCTAAAGGATAATCCGTACATACATCCATGCATCATGCATACATACCTACCTACCTACCTACCTACCTACCTACCTACCTACCTACCTACCTACCACCTACCTACCTACCTACCTACCTACCTACCTACCTACATACATCCATTAATGCATGCATGCACTCATGCATGCATCCAGGCATGCATACAGAGCTTAGATGTTATGCACTATATATAACATATTTCAATGGAAACCGCATGCATAAAAGTTATAATGCCCTAATGCCATACCTGAGTAGAAAGAAACTATATGTGCAAGAAATTTCATGCGGTAAATATATATATATATATATATAGTATGTATTGATAATCCATTGCACTCGCTCGAACTGTTTTGCACCCAAGTGGGGCAAACTAGTCAAACTTGGACGAAATGTTCACGTTTAAATAAGCATAAACACATGTTGTATCTGAAAACACGTCATTTCATAAGTAACTGTGGAGAGTGAGAGCCAGAAATGAAAGATGGTAAGAGATGAGCTTCATATAATGTCACACATCAATATATATATATATATACATGTTTTTATGTACATATATATATATATATAATATACGTGCGTGCACGTAAATGCGCATATGTATATATGCATGATATACATGCATTTATGTATGTTTGTATGTGTGTATATATATATATATACATATACATATATACATATATACATATATACATATATACATATATACATATATACATATTTACATTGCAGTCCGTTTAACATGTCATGAATGTCTTACTATGTGCCATCTTATACTGTCTCGCATCACAACATAAACTTATGAGTGTATACTTTTACATACACATATAAATCATATAAATGATACTCCATTTCCGTATCTTCCATTCCGGTTGAATATCTTATCTTGTCTTGTGTTGCATTGTCTAGTCCTGACCTGTCTTGTCTCGGCTTAACGGATACCGTAAAACCCTGCTTGATGTCACATGCTGTATGCTGTATGTGTGTGTATACTGTCAAGATCTTCAAAAAAGAAGTCAAAGAAGCGCGAGCCTTCACGAAGAGATCGACTTCGAGTCCTGCATGGGCAGAGAGTGAGGATGGAAGCCACGGAGAAACCCACGAAGAGAGAGAGAGAGACAGCGACAGAGAGAGAGAGAGAGAGAAGCCGAAGGAGGCGCATGTGGCCTTGTCTCAGGCAGCGCTCCATCTTCCATTCATCTTCGTCGGCCTCCATCCTCGGTGGCGGACCATGGTTAGAGAAAGATGCTTCAGCTTTTCCTGGGAGCCGCGCCGATCGACCTCGATGAAGTAACTGGTCGGAGGCGCCAACTGCAGCGAGCACAGCGATGGGAGAAGCGCTGGGTTGGGTCCCTTTTTTGGGTGTCTCCTCGTCGATGGACTCTTTCGAGGCATCGGAGAGGCGCCTGGCGACGAAGGAGAGCCTTCCTCGTTTTTGCGGGGGATTGTTTACCCTAGCGACCCCGCGCCTGGATTCCTGAGCCTGCAGATTTGCCTGCGACAGGAGCCCCGTTTTGTTTCAGTCGAGTCGGTCGCAAAACCGGCCTGATCCGGTGAGACTAAGCCTCAATAACACACACACACACACACATGACTCAAGGCAGTGGAGCAGCCGCGTCCGCGTGAACAAGCTTCTGAAAGCCGGGGGCCCCGACTCATCCGTCTCTGGATGCCCGACACCAAGGAGTGGGAGAGCAGGTAATCTCCTGCCATGCACATCCATGCCCCATGATCCCTGCGATGAATCCGCAAGCGCGTTTGACCGCCTTTCGGGCTCTGGGTTCCCGAGGCTCGTTTGGCCGCCTGTCAGAGAAAGCGGAGAGGCTTCGGAGCTCTTCGGCTGCTCTTCTTCGAAGGTTTCGGCCTTGTTCAGCTTCACCGTCGGAACCTGAGCTGGGGCCGTCCCGACCCGCTCAGGTCACCAGAGAGCTGACACTGAGAAGTCGGCGATGGTAAGCTGTGCCAAGTGGGCATCTAAGGCCTCGAAGAATGCAGATGAAAAAGAACCGGCTTTGCCAGCTTTGCCTTCGCCCTCTCTTTTTGCCGGCTGCAGTAGTGCTGGGTCCCGGGACTCCAAGGATGAGTGGAGACCTCGGGGCGGACCGTGCCACCGACACGAACTCCTGGCAGACATGAGCATCTGAGTTTGAAAACCGAAACAGAAAGCAGATGAAGGATTCCGTCCTCATCCATGAAGGTCGTCGCCTTTAACGCTCTCGCGCACGAAAAGCAGAGCTCTCTTCGAGCGGACTCTGGCCGACTCTTGGGCTGCCGGCGATGAGGCGTGCGAGGGCCTGGCCCTGCGTCGCCGAGGTCCGATCGCAGATGACGACCTGAGCGGAGTTTTCCGGAGCCCCTAAACCCTTTTCTAAAGCCTCCATGACGCCTCATGGAGAGGCGCAAAGCTGGGACGCTCTTTTGGGGCCCCTGCTGCGGCGAAGCGGGTCTCGCCCCCGCCGTCGTCGTCTTCGAAGCAGACCATCGTCTGCGGCTTCGGCACGTTTGCAGGGTGGGGTTTCGGGATTTCGGGGTTTCAACGTCGTGGGCTCCTCCTTCTTGGAGAGCCGCGCCAAGGCCAGGGAGGGCTGCTCCATGCTCTCCCCGCCTGAGCCGAGAGGAGGGACGATGGATACGTAGGCCTTCGGCTTACTTAGGGCCTTAGGGCCTTTCATTTGGCTTCGAAAGCTCCTCCTGTTCTAAGGGTGCAGGTACGAGGCCCGGGCCTGCAGAGCAAACAAAGACCTCGATGGCCTGCAGAGTGCAGCGCCCCATGTAAAGACAAAGCCAAATTGGACAAAAGAGGCACGGCCGCCCCAGGACGGCCCGCCACGAGCACCGAAGGGACCCGTCCTCGCCCACTGCGTCGTCCTTGGATGGTGTCCCCTCCTGCCACCAAAGACAGGAGCGATCGGCAGGCGGCACGGGCGCAAACATGCAAGGCTTTTCAGGTTCCACGAGCACCACGCTTCAGTCTTCTCCTGGGTGACATAGGGATGGTCGTGCAGCAGCAGCTCCACCTTCCAAGCTGGGAACATCTCGAAAGTCCTATTCTCAAGGAAACGACTTTGGGGTGGACTTGTCCGACATCTACTTCAAGCAAAAGAGGGGTGTGCATGCACACTGCACTCCGCCTCTTGCAAAACGCTTCCAGCCACTGTGCCACCCAGCTCTGCCAGCCTAAGCAGCAGTCGGGACGGCCGCAGAGTTTTGGGGTCCAGGGCTTTGCTGCCGAGCTACATCTTCGTGAAGAGCTCCGAGAACTTGAACTCACCTCTTGCTGCTGGAGCTGGCATATAACGGATGCTTCCATTTCATGAAAAATATCTCCAGACTCATCAACACAAATCTCCGCTCTCCTCACCTTTCAAACCTGGGAGGGAGAGAGACACAGAGAGGCGGGAGTGCAGGGAGAGAGCGGGCACCTTGGAGCGGATGAGCCACTCTGAGAAAGACCATATCGCAGGGTCGCGCCGCGTCTGAGGTATGAAAGAGAGAGCGTCCGAGGGGAAGGGAGGGAGGGGAGTGAGCGAGGGAGGGAGAGAAACGGAAAGAGAGGAGGGAGAGATAGACACGAGAGGCTGCGAGAGGCGTAGAGAGGCAGGGGCTTTGAGGGCGTGGCCGCAGTCCGCGATGTCCAAGAGGAGGCCGGCGGGAGTCTGCAACGAGTCCTCATGGAGCTACGCCGGAAGTTTAAGGAGTCCCACCGCCGCAAAGCCATGGTTTCTCCCATGTTCGCCTGGAGTTGCGTCAGAGCAGTCAGCGAGGTGGAGGGCAAGTGCACCTCGCCACCAAGGTTTCCACAGCTCCCTGCCAAGAAGGACAAAACCGCCAGAAGCCTCCCGCTCCCTGTTCTTCTCAGACCTGCACACTCATTGCAACCATTGATCGCAGACGTTCCCGTACAAACAGAACCCCATTGAGCCCCGTGCAAGTCTTCGCATGCTGCCGCGTCTTTCTTCAAGTCCTGAGCGAGATCGACTGCTGCGCGACTCGTAGCACCCAGACTCAGTCTGCGCTCTGTCGGCAGCTCAGGGCAGCGCCACTTCTAGCCCAGCACAGAAGTGATGCGTCCTCAAGCGGAAACGCCAAGGAAACTTCCTGCTCCACCCTGCCCAACCCTGCAGCCGGAGGGCTCTTGCCACCCCGAGGCTGTGTGCTCCCAGAGCCGTGCCGTGTAAGACGGACCTCAACACACCCAAAAGTTAAGCTGGATTCAGCGCATCATGTGAAAAGCGGGGCCATCTTCCGGTGGCTCCTGAAGATCGCGCCTTGCTAAGCTCAGCTCGGGCTGCGGCACTTGAACTTACTCGGAGGCTCTGTGTTCGACGCCCGGGAGGATCGCCGCTGTTGGGAGGATCGCCGCTGTTGTCGGAGGTCGACAGGTATAGATATCCTTAGGCGCAAGTCCGTCAACAGCCCTGTCACGGGTTTCAGGAGTCGCAACCTTGACACATCCGGCGCACCCCTGGTGAACTTGCAGACCCGCTACAGCTCAACTCTTCTGCCGTGCTGCGCTCCTTTGGCTGCCACCTCGTCGACTGCTTTGTTCTGCGACTCCTAGCAACTCCAAATCATGACCCCACCCTCACACATTAGACACAGGTCTGTATGATCCCTTGTGAGACATGCAGCCGCAGCTCGTGCCCCTGGGGCCCAGCCCAGGGCCGGCCTGGACCTCCTCGTTAACAACCCCGGGCAGGTCCCCGAAGCCCTGTCCGCAGGTCTGTGGTCTGGGCAAAGAGGAGACCGTCCCGTGACCGCGGCAAACACCCCAGCCTGGTTCGTGTCAGCCATCGCGCGCCGGGAGGCCGCGTTTGCGGCTCCGCACGTGCTGTGAGCTACTTGTCCGACTTGGGGCTTTGTTGAAACTCGTCAGCTGCCGGATGGCTGCTTTGCTCTTGGCTCTTGTGCTGCGCTCTTCTGCTGCTCTACTGCTGGCTCTGCTGCTGCGCTCTGCTGCGCTCTGCGGCGGGGGCCTGAGCCGGGGTGTGGTTGGCGCTATAGTTGAGGCTTGGAGTTTTTACGGCTTATGGACTCTTTCTTCGGAGCTCCGAAACAGCTGCAGGAGACTCACCAGTGCTCTCGCCTGCGCACCGTTGATGCGGAGCATCAAGACAACCACGGAAGGAGCCGCAGCCCTCGCAAAAGGACGCCTGGCCAGACTCCGTGGGCGCTCCCGGCTGGAAGTAGGTGCTCGCACCCTTCGGGTCGATGCAGATGTACCTGCCAAGGGGCTCGGCCCAAGAAGAAAGAACACATTGACATGGAAAGAATCTGGGCATTCCAAAATCCTATCATTGCTGTTGCTGCGTCTAATTCTGATTCTGATTGCAAATACGATTCTGATGATGCAGACTACTGCTACGATTCTCTGTATGTCGATCATTGAATCATGATGAACTACAGTATGTTGATGATGCTGATGTGCTTCTTTGTGCACGGAGTCCTGTCCTGGCGCACTCCCAGTCTCCTCGTGCGAAGCCCGGGAGCTGCGGGAGATGGGCTTTCGGTGCTTCGGCCTGTGAAACCACGGCCGCAGCGCCCCCCGGCCCCCCCCACCTATATAAGGATCCGCATTAGGGATACCGGGATACCTGGCTACAGGCTTTGGGCTTGTCCTTTGATGAGGGCTCCTTTCGGTCTGGCGCTTGGGGCTCTGCTAAAGCTCCGGCCTCTGGGGTCAGCACCCGGATGCCCTTCAAGGTCATTGGGAGGTAATAGGCGCCGACCCTGGAGATGAGGCCCGAGCTTTTGCGAACGCAGAGGGTGGTAACTGGGGATCATATCCGTGGAGACACCTAATGACCTAATTCGGCTAGCCGCTGGCAGCTTTGTGCATGCAAAGCCACCGGGCAAGGACCCACATTTAGTTCCCGGAACGACCTACAATGTGGTTCCAAGGCCGACTCTACACAGACTCCCAGTTGTCGACTGCGCATGAGCAAAGGGATTGAGTCGGTTCGGTGGATGCCACACGGAATCTAATATAGACAGGCAAGCTGGACGAGGCATTCAAGTGAGTTGGAGCACGATGAGCAGCAGAGACAGGCTCAGGTCAAGTTCTCAGCAGTTCAATACAAAATCAAACCCAAATATACACTCTACACTGGCCCATGCCTCAGCCATCCTTCGTCATCAGCCACACCGTGAACCACCGTGCCCCATAAGGCTGTTCTAGCAGGGACCACCTGAAGCAGAGTGGGGATACCGCACTCGCCCAACAGCGCCTCAAGCACACTCAAGCCGAAGCCCCCTGGCCTTGTCCTCTAGATCAGGAGAAGCTCGGTAGCCGACACCGTCGGAGTCCGCCTGACACTTGCAGCGTCGAAACCCATCAAGACATCACCACGGCTCTTCCTCAAGCCGCGTGCCGCGCGTGCCTTGAAAGCCCGGTTGTCGACGAGGAAGGCTTGTTGTGGCTCCGGGGCAGCTGGCTCCTGCGCAGAAGTGGGCGGACCTTCTCTGCGAGAGCTGCACGACTCAAAAGGCTCCTCCTGAGCCTGCGCGACCTCCATGGACACGGATGCCCCCTCAGTTGCCAGAGCCAACTTCTCAGGGTTCTGCAAAAGTGGTGCCTTGCTGCGTGAAAAACTCAAGAACACCCCGGCCCGTCCACTTGCCTGGCCATCAAAGCTCTCCAGCTGCTGCCGGGTGGTAATCATCGTTGCCACCTGAACTGACTCGCAATGCTGTCCTGTAGTCAGCTTCAGAAAACAGAGGACGGAATCCCACAACCTAAGGACCCCGAAATACGAGGTCACCTAATGTTCAGAAGCCAAGAAAGGACCTTCTGCATCTGCTCGGGGGAATGATCCAACGGTGTCACGAGCAGCTTTCCCGTCCTGGGCAACGCTTTCGGTCTTTGGTGAACCGGTCCGTTGCAATTCACTTTGGCCCCCTTCTTGGGGGTTTCTTGCAGTGCGCAACTTCTGACGCTGAGTACTACTTTTACAATGGTATGCACACATGCATGCAAACATACGAGTACATTGACATAGATGCCAAGAAGGATTAAACGGCCCATTTGGCTCCCGGCTGGGAGACGAAGCTGATCCAACCGTCCTGCCCAGACCTCGCGAGGCGAAGCAGGACGAAAGGCCCAACTTTCCTCAACGCCGAGGCCCGAGGCGCGGGCACCGGGTCCTGAACGAAGAGCCTGCGGTTCCGGGCACCTTCGATTCAAAGTCACGCGGAAGTGAGGCTAAGTTTGTCGGGGACCCGGCCTGCGCCGTGGCCAAGTATCTGCATCCTTTGCTCCTTGGGCCCCGCTTCGCTTTTTTTGCCAGAGAGAACTCTGAAGCAACGAATTCTGTTCTGCTGTATCGGGACCCTATCGGGAAGCGAAGGCTCAGCGCCCTCAGTCCTTCTCCAGCTGACAGATTGCCGTGCTCCGAAGGTCCTCACGGCATGGCGTGGCACTGCACATCGCATCCGTCCAAGCACTCACAGTCGACAATCTTCACGGTCCTCGGCAGCCCTCATAATGGCTGCCTGAGCTGCGCAAACCGTCCAAAGGAACCCGACTCCGGATCACCAAACAAGCCCCCATCATCAAGAAACGACATGCCTCGAGCATGAGCACCGCGCTGCCGATAGGGAAAGCCTGGACAGCTCGGTCTCCGACCCCTCTGTACCTCTCTTAGCCCAGAAAGATATTTGCATGTTCATCCAACATTACAGAGGATGGCAATAAAAGAAAAGATAGAAGCTTGGATCTGCTGCACGTCCTTCAACTCCCTAGCGTGCTCTGCACTGCACCAGTTCACCAGGGATCCAGATCGAGGATTGCAGCGAAAGCGCGTGAGAAAGCTCGCTTTTACCGGGCATCCGTCAGCCGGTCCTGAACGGCACTGCCATCGCCACAGCCGCCACAGCCATGGCCCCAGGCCACCGCGGATCAATTATCGATAACACCACCATCACCCCAGGGTGGACACCGACAACACCACCATCACCCCAGGGTGGACACCGACGCATCAGCCAACGGTTGCTGCATCCAGCACATGTCCGGATCTGCGTCGAATCATGTCTCGAGTCTCCACGGATACTCCGAGAGTGGCCGAGGTGGGGTCGTGGCCTTTAGGTGGGATATGTTATCCCGCCCAACGCTTACGACTCGCAAGCACTGCTTTCTTATGGGAGTTCCCCGTTCCCCCCTAGCACAAAGGCCTCCACGACCTGCAGCCCTGCAAGCGCCCAGGGCGACTCCTCGATTGTGAGGATCGGCACGCCCGCCAGCCTTTAAAGGGAAGGTAAAGATGGCTCCATCCAAAAGCAGGACCGCTTATCTTTTGGCTGAGGCCGAGGCTGCATGGGCAGGTAAAGCTCGCCGGAGACGCAAAGCCAGCCGTCCCCTTCATCCACGCCCTCACAAGAAACAAGAGGAGGGACGAGGGGAGGGAGGGGAGGGGAGGGACCTCGATGACGGAGCCCCACAGAGCCGTGCAGCTCAAGTCGATGTCCTCGAGATCCTTCGAAAAACCTCGGCTCTGTGTTTCAATCAGGCCCGTCTCTGCATGGGGGCAGGGCCCGGACGATAGTTCACGCCCTCCGTGCCCGCGTGGAGCAAGCGATTGTCCACCAAAAACCTCTTGGGCGCCTCTTCAGCGAGCGAAAAAGGCGAGCGCAGCGTAGCGCAGCGTAGAAGAGAAACTCCCCATGGCGGCCCGGGCCTCCTCGCGGAGGTCCTGTGCCTTCTGCCGCCGCAGCCACTGCTTCCCCGCTGGTTCCACCTCCTGCGTAATCACCTGCGGGTGATACCTCCGCAAGATGGATCATGGCCATGGCCTTCCATGCGGCAAAGCCGCTCCCACTTGGGCCGGGGCGACACGCGGCTCACCCGGCTCGCCACGCTGGCCACGCTGGCCACGCTGGCCACGCCCGTCGCGGGCATCGGGATCTGCCAGCACCGCTCTGCCAGCACCGCTCTTCGCAAAGCGCTCTTCGCGCCATCTCCGGGCGCCGGGCCGACACCCCGTGCTCCACGGGCGCCTCCTCTCCCGAACGGAAACCCAGAAGCTCCGGCAATTTCCCCAGCGCCTGCGCCGAAAAGATCGACGCTGACGCGGTGCCGATGCCCGCAGCACCTCGTAGGAAAGGTGCTGGCAACGGCCTGTTACGGCTCTTCATGAAGCAGAGGCGCTGGTGGACCGCGATCGGGTGGAGGGCATCGCGGCAAAGGCCGGCGGGGCGACCTGCACTTGGACAACACGGTTTGCACGAGAGTGTACGAGACGAAGTTAGCTCCAAAGAAACATCAGAAATCTAGTCTTCGGCGCGCCGGTCTGTTCATGCTGAAATCCCTCCCATGCCGTCAGAACCTCGGCAGCCGCCAAGGCCACCTGAAGTTGTTGTGGAAACATCTCTGCTGCAAGCTCCGAGAATCCAGTCTTGTGCTCGACCAGCAGAGACCTTTCACTTCGTTGGCTGGGCCAAATGCCAAGGGTCGCCCGGACTGCGCTACGAAGCTGATCCAGCCAAGAGTACCTGACCTGGGCTGCGCCCAACCAACTTCGGGGGCCAGGGGGTGGGTTTTCGTCCGGGTGCGGCGCTGCTGGTGTCTCACCTGATCACTCCGAGCTCGCTTCAACTTCGCGGGATTTAGCTGCAGGGAGAGCTAGGCCACCGAACGTAAAGCCGGCGGGTCCCGGGCTCTGAGCCAGAGCCCACCACGTCCAGCAAAGTGCCCTAGTCGCACAGGTCGCCGCGCGCGCAGAACCCAGAACAACTCCACCTCAGACACGGAGTCACGCCTCCTCCAGCACGGCGAGCTGCTCGCTCTTCAGGGACTCCTGAGGTTAGCAGGGGGTTTCCACGACTTCACAGGAGCAGCGCTTGCGATCGCTTGCGCGTCGCCTCGGCTCGCATGACCATCTCGTCAAGGACGGCCACTCGACAGCCTGGCTCGGGTGGTACTGGGAGCCGTTAGGAGCCTTCCAGGACAACTGGACCCGACCTGGTGGGAACTGGCCCGCGCCCGCGCTCGAGTTGACGGCGCTGGAGCCTCGCTCTCCAGGCTCTGCTATCATGCTGAATCATGCTCGTTTTCAAGCCCATGCCCCCCAGATTTGCCTCGGGAGTACGCAGGTGCCGAGGCCTGAAGCCACGAGTATATTTCGGTAGATCGAGCTTTCCAATGTCAGCCGGGCCGCAGGGGGCACGACGTTTCCGCGGCCCTGCGGACACCAGTGCGCTGGGTCGTGAGACGTGGGTTGAGATCGAACATTCCAGAGCTCAAGCTTCTCTGCTTGTGCAGGCGCGCCTGCGCCTCCGAAACATCGGAAGCTGCCTCAAGCAAAAGGCCATCGGCGAAAGACTGCACCACGGGAAAGAAGGCCCCATGCCCGAATGTCTCCGGTCAGTGAATTACACAACTGCTGAATGCTAACTAACGCCCCGCGCCTACACCAACACCCTCTTGGACATCTTCGCTTATTTCATCTCTCGAGCTTGCTGAGAAAAGCCCATGCCATAGCCTGTTCCTTGCCACCAAGGCGCCGAGAAGCCGCAACTCCTGGGAGCCATGTCGACTTGGCACCCGCCTGCCTCGGTCGTTCAGTTCTCTGCGTCCGTCTGCCGCTTTTTCGTGGCTGCACCCGATTTAATGCAGCTGGGGAGCTGAGTAGCTTGAAGCTTGGCTCTGCACTGCGGCTGCCGGGCTCCATGCCTGCATCGCCTCGGGGCAACTTCGATCAGCATGCAAAGCTGCGCTGACGGCACACCTGCACACAGTAAGACTGCCCATCTTATCCATTCGGGTCGCACTTTGGCTCTGCATTGTCCCCACTCCCGGCATTGCAGGCATCGCCTGGGCTCTGACATGATCGCTCGGGCCCACAGCGAGCCAAACAGAGACCATCTCATTCTTTCGAGTCACACTTTGGCTCTGCATTGCCCCAACTCCCGGGATTGCAGGCATAGCCTCAGCACATCCAAACGAGTACATGCAAGACAAACGTACTGGACAAGCACAAGCGTAATTACCCACAAGACAGGGCACACCCTGGCTTTGTATGGCTTGACCAGCACAGGCCGAGTGATTGCTTTGCATTGTCCCGCAAGCTGGCATGGCCGGCATGGGCATGGCAGGGGAAACCTCAGGAAACAAGAGCAAGCGTCTTTCCCACAAACGCTACCGCCGAGACGGTGCATCCAAGACTGACCGAGCGGCACTTTGGCATGGCGTGCACGCAGATGATTGGCTGTGCTGTGTGACCATCGGTATGGCCGGTGCCTCGGACAATTAGGACACCAATGGTGATTCCCATGCTGGGGATCGTGATGATGATGATGAGGAGGAGGAGGATGATGATGAGGATGGGGATGATGATTATTATTATGGTGGCGATGATGCTGATGATGATGATGATGATGATGATGAGGATGATGATGATGATGAGGATGATGAGGATGATGAGGATGATGAGGATGATGAGGATGAGGATGACGATGACGATGACGATGATGATGACGATGCCTTCTACTTACCACCGACAACATCCTCCCATCATCATTACCACCACCACCAGCATCCTCATCATCATCATCATCACCATCATCATCCGCATGGTCCTAATCTCATTTTCATCCTCGTCCTCACCCACCAAGCATGCACACAGACACACCCACATGCATGCATACACACATTCATACATGAACGACGTGCATACCTACGCCCGTAGGGCAGGCACATACACGTTGACATGTACGCCGGCATGCAGACAATCCAGTACAGTACAACACGGTGCCATACCCCGGCGATACCAGGCAATGCAACGCAATACCATATCGTACAGGCATGCATGTTGACAGGTAAATACGCACAGAAATACACCGTCTCGATGCTTCACGGTGCTCACGTCCGTCCGATCTGGAGACTAAGGAACGTCAGGCTCCCCTAAAGGCTATATTTAGGAAGCCTGGACATGGTCGAGCTTGGCCCGGCGCTGCACTGAAGATACTGCCAGACCGAGGGGAGCCTGGCATGCGCGGCAGCGAGCACAGCGACAGCAGTTGCAGGTGATCCGAGTGAAAAGTGGCGTCTGTCACAGTGCCTGCGTAGGCACCGGCCACGGCCGCACCGGCGATGGCCTTCGAATCACGAATGTGCATGGGACGTACAGAGGTAGAGCCGCGGTGCAGTGCAACGTCTGAGCCCTCGGCTTGGAACTCGCCTGCAGCACCGGCCGCAACGTCCGAGCCTGGAGCTCCAATCATCGTCACCAGCTTCCTGTCCAAAGCGTTGGGGGTTCCCGCTGCAAAGGAATGGAGACCTCTTTGCCCCACAGCACAAGGTCACAAGAAGCACCTTGCATGCTGGTTCCCGGAGCGTTTGCTCCCATAGATCGGGGAAGCTTACGTACCACGAAAGGAACACACCCCGAGCCCCGAGCCCCGCCTCCCGGACTTTGCCACGCCTCAGCGGCTCGGCTCTGCCCTCAAACGAACGAGACATCTCTCGGCTCAGTTCTGATGCTTCTTCAAAGGCTCCTGCTTAGGAGGGCCCTCGAATACACACTGCCACGGGTATCGGCTTATTGGCTCTTCGAAGAGACTCTCAAGCAAGGGGCAACTGATCCAGCCGCGCAGGCCTTTGCCGACGACGTAGACCTAACAGAAGTGGAAGCGATTCCGTCGAACTTTGCTGTTTCGAGGGGTCTTGGCCTGCAACCGCCGGCTGTCTGGCGAAGTGCCGTGGCCCAGAACAAAACATGCCTCAAAGAAGAGAAGCGAAAGCGATCAGATTTCCGTTGCACTCGTTTAAACCAGGCCTGTCCCTGCTCCAGCTCGCCGCAACTCGGATCAGGGAAGCGCAACAGATGCTGAGACAGCTCCGGACCCGTCGTCTCAGCTCTGCACTTCTCGGAGTTGAGGTCCTCAGCTTTTCGAGCCCCTCGGCCTATCCTCGCCTGCTAGCCGCCGCTAGCCTGGCCTCCGCCGTGCGCAGCACCGCTGCGCCGCAGAGCTCGATCACCGAGCTGGCAGGGAAGACCTGCTTCGAGGCGCACAGAGCACGCAGCCCTTCTATCTCTCGCGACTTTCAAAGATCCATGGCTCAGCTCCGACACTTTGGCGCCTCATGGGGTTGAGGTGCCGACCTCGCAACTGAGCCGACGCACTTCCAAGCGTGGTTGTGTCGGGCTCCCGCGTCGTGGACGCGAGGGCCGCAGCCATGCTCCCCGGTCCCTCGCAAGCGAAGCATCGGATGTCGGCGCTGTCGGAGGGCGGTGCAGAGAGGGAGGAAAGTGTAAGGCCGCCACCGGTCACGCTAAGTACAGCTCCCGGCCATGGTAGTCATGACTTCTAGGACGCTCTGAACCTCCTGATTTGACTATCACTCCATCACTACCTGCCACGTTTCCAAGTTGATGTCCAAGGCGCTGGGCCGTCGGCACAGCATGTCACTGCTCTATTGAGCCGCCGACCATTTGTCGTTGCTGCTATCTTCTATCTCAGCCGACAACGGCTTCAGAGGACGCACGCCTGCGCATGCACGAATATGCTATGCTCGCCATGCTCTTTGAAACCTTTTCGGCTGTGGCATGCGAGCCGGCTGTGGAGCTCTGAGAAAGGGCAGCTTCGGTCACTTTCTCACCGACCTGAGGAGGGAGAGAGAGAGAGAGAGAGAGAGAATAGGAAGGAATCGCGGTCGCATTGCGGAGTGGCACTGCGATCGCCCTCTTGTCATGTATCTCCCTTCTCTCAGCACTCGACTCCAGATACTCCAAGTGGTCCTTGGGCAATTCTCTGATGGCCCGTGCGTTGGCAGTCATCAGAACTGCCGTCGCCTTCCCCGAGACCCCAGAACTCGGTGAACTTCTTTGAGCTCTCCTTGCAGTGCCTGCCGATCGTGATGTTCCTGGACGCAAACCCGTCCCCGATCTGGCACAATCACCTTGACTGCCAAGCAGAACCGATACCACAGCTCAGGGCACGGATGCTTCCCGAGTGGATCGCAATCCCATCAGTGTCTCCGAGGTGGCGCTGTGCTGGATAGAGCATGAACCTGGCCATGCAAGCGGCAGGAAGCCGCAGGAAGCCCTCAAGAACGTCCGGTCCTGCTCTGCAGGGTCCAGGCTGCTGAAACCTGCTCACACGAGCACGTCAACTGAAACCTGATAACACTGATCGCTCTTTCTGGCCTGCTCCGGCTCGCGGGCCTCAAGCCTTTGTCGATGCACCTGAGAGGGCAAAACGCCCATGGACACTTTCCGTCAGAAAGCCGGCCAAGAGACCGCCGGAAAGCGCGTGCATTGGCGTTGCACTGCAGGCCCTCCGGAAGCGACTTCAACGCATTGTTGCTGCAGCTGCTTTCGGTAGCCCTGCGCAGCACGGCCTGCTGGGCCGCCAGCCAAAGCACACGTGCCCGTGAGTGGAGCCTCCAAGTGTTGCGACATGGCCAGGAAAGGACGCTGCACTGCTGCACCTCGCTTTGGTGGTTGAAGTTCCACACCGCTCAACTCCTTCCGAATCCTTGGGGTTGCTTCTGCTACAACTGGTGGCAACACAGCGGGACCCTGCATGAGGCTGCGATCATTTGAGCCATAACTGGGCTGCTGTAGGAAGGCCGCGTTCAAAAACATTCAAACCCACAGCTGCAAGTCTTCGAACAATCTCAATAGCTTTGCCCTTTGCCTGGCCGAGCTGAAACAGTTCTCACTACAGTTCCGAAAGCGCAGCTTGCTAAAAACAACAAGTGCACGCGACATCGCACCCGATATCGCGCTCCCGCCGCTTGTCCACGCACCGCCCGCGCACCCGATATCCCCAGCTTGTCCACGCCTTCCCCACGGACCGCTCCCGCACACACCCAATGTCGCGCCCCTTTGTCCAAGTCGTCTCCCCCATGCACCAACTGTGCATCTGCAACATCGCGCTTCCCCCCTGTGTTTATGTTCGCAATGATTCGAACATATCTTCATATCTTCCAATCGAACATGTATATGGGAAAACGAATCGCTGACTCAGAAGCTCGGATTCATCTTTGTCGGAAGCGGTCATGGGTTCCTCACAGCAGGCATGACCTTTGCTGTTCAGAACATTTACAATCACTACCTCTCTCTTGCCTAACCCTTAGAAATCGACCAGCCAGCGTTGCTCGCCATGACAACGGATAGAATCACAAACCCCAATGCCGTAGTCCCGGCAAGCTTGAACATGTCCTCCTTCAGTCCTTTCACGTACTCCTTCACTCCTTTCACGTCCTCCTTGAGCTCAGTTTTGAGCTCCTTGATGGCAGCCTTGACGTCAACGAGGCTGGTGTTGAACGAATTCGTCACCAGTCCAACGAGGAAGATGGACAACGTGGCCAGGTATGCGAATTCTGAACCTACGGGTGGCACCAAAGGGGACGCTCCTGGTTCTGCGGCGCACGCTGGGTCGCAGGTTGCCAAAGAGGCTGCAAAGACAACTCCGCAGCGATGGCAGCCTGCCTTGCCAACTGAGAGGAATGTCGGCTTGTTAGTCAGGTTCATGATGACCGCCACAAAAGACACCAAGGCACACTTTCTGCGAGCCATGGCTTGCACTTTTTTCTACACACAGCCTGTAGGTGCTGATTCGATCTTGGAAGAAACATCAACCCATGACAGGACATGTGCTGTATACGAGCTAGCACTGGCAGCAGCACTGGTTAAACTCGCATTCGGATGTTTCACATCCGCAGTTCAAGTTCGTCACACCATCCGGGTTACGGTTGACGGTTGAATCATGCACGAGCGAACATGCCTTAGGATGCGCAAATGCTCCATGTGCATGATACGGCGTTTGCCCACAACTCTCCGGGGGAACATTCGCCTGAGCATAAGCCAAAAAAAGGTCAAGGGGAGCGAGGGCGGGCGCAAAACTTGCTAGCGTGACTCTGTACCGCACACGTCTCAACTGCATACTACGTGGACATGTCATACGATTGCACTGCGAATGAACCACGCTGAATCTTGGCGCGTTCTTGACATGTGGCTCCTGGTGACTTCGAGTAGTTGTCCATGCCCGATGTTACCCAAGATTTGGCCGTGAATTTCACAAACTAGTGTTCGCTTCACGAAACAACAAAGAAATTTCGGATTGGCTAAAATGCATCAACAACCAGTGTTTTGTTGACCTGTGAATGGAAACGGGAACAAAAATGAGGAAAAAGGGAAGCTAGGTTCAAATAACACAACTTGTACATGTAAATTGTAAAAAGCCATGTCACCAAGCAGGTACGACTATATCCTTGAATCATTCCGCAACTTGAGCGGATGCTCTGAAAACTGGAAGTACAACTATATCACTCCGTGAACTTGACGTCTTTATGCCTTTACACTGTTTGTGAGAAACAAAGCACACAGTGCACAGCACTCGGTCTTTTGGCTGGTGTGGCTGGTGTGGTAGGGCCCTCTGTGGCTGGTGGTGTGGCTGGTGTGGCTAGTGTGGTGTGGCTGGTGTGGCTGGTGGGGGCCTGTGTGGCTCGTGTGGCTGGTGTGGCGGGTAGTCGGTATGACGTATCGCTGCCGAACCGAGCCGAAACTCCGCAATACTGGCCACACATACATATACCCGCTAAATACCGCATACGTATCGGTATCGAACCGCCCGACTACAACCATGCAGAAACGATTCGGTCGCAGCGTTTCTCGGTCAAAACGTTATTGGGACCATCGTATCACTGTTGAATACATTGTTTCAAACCCTGAAAACCCAAAACCCCCGAAGCCCTAAAGGCCCAAAGCCCTAAACCTAAGTCACACCGGACAAACCCCCCAAGCCCAAAACCACCTAAGCCTTGTAAACCCAAAACCCCCGAAACACCCTGAACCCTAAACCGCAGACCCTAGACCCCCTAAACCTAGACCCCTTTTCAATCTCCCTCACGCCCTAAACCCCCTAAGCCCCAAAGCCTCACAACCCTGAACCGACCAAACCCCGTAAACCTCAAACCGCCTAAACCTTAAACACTCTGAACTTCCTAAACCTCTAAACCCTAGCCCCCCTAACCACACCTAAACCCCCCAAACCCTAATCCCCCAAAACCCAAAACCCCATAAACCTAAAACCCTCTAAACAAACCCGAAAGCCCTAGAACCCTGAACCCAGGGACACCCTAAAGCCCACAAGCCCCCTAAACCCGTAAACCAGCTGAATCCTCTTAAACCCCCCACATCCCTCACCCCCCCTCTTAAACCCCCTACATCCCTAACCCCCCCTCAAAAAATCAATACCTGAACCCCTCAAGCACTCAACCCCTAAGCCTAAACCCGAAAGCGCTCCAAAACCCTAAACCGCTTTAGCCCTACCACAAAAAAACCGCAAAAAAACCCGAAATCCCCTAAAATCTAAACCCCGAAACCCTCTGCACCGAAAAACCCCGAAGGCCTCAAACCGCCCAAAACACCAAACCCCAAAACCCTAAGAGCTCTAACGGTTTCCTCCGAGATGTTAGAAAACGACCCAAACACTCTAAACCCCCAAACCCCCTAAATCCCCAAATCTCCAGCCACCCTTCAAACCCCAAACCCCAATGAACCCAAACCCCCCCGAACCCCCTCAGCCCTGCGCCCCAGATTTGCTTGCTGCTTGAAGAACCGCTTGAAGTTACCCTAAAGCTCGACAGCCCAAACCCAAACCCAAACTCCAACCCCAAACCCCCTAAACCTTGTAACTGCCAGAATGGCTCTGTCCAAAGATTGCCCACTCGGCCTCCAGCCATGTTCGCTGGTTCAGCTCCTGCTTGCTTGCAACCGTTCTGATAGCAAACGGCGCGGAAGGGATTGAAGCTCCAAACTTGTCCCAAGCTTCACAGGAACGAAAGAGCTGAGCCTTCGAATTTGCTTACTTGGACTTGAAGAAGTTCACGCAATGTCGAATATTTGTCCCTTACATGGACCAAGCAGACAGCGGCATCGGCAGTGCACTTCAGCCTGATGGATGTCAATAACTATGCAGAGCAAACTGTACAATTTTTGTGCTGTTCTTCTTGCAGACAGAGGCTGGAGTTGGGTTCGGAATGACTGCAAGCTAACCGCGGGTTGCCTCAAAGCCAAAGCTGAGCAAACATAGGTGTTGTTCAACACCAAAACGACAGCCACGAAGGTTGTTTTTTATTTCTGGGGGACTGTTGTAAGTTCTCTTGGCGGCAGATTCTTTTGAAGTAACCATTTTTGGCCGGTTTTTCCAGATTGACGTGCTCCACACACTAAAGAAGAATCCATCTTTTCCGCAGCATCCTCCTTGTAACGTAACCCACCACTTGGTGTTTTCTTTTTTTTTGCGTGGTCAGGCCTCGTCGACGGCGGCTGCCGCACTCGGTCCTAAGGTAATCGACAAAAAGCAACAAAGACCAAGAAAGCCACTAAAATCACTAAAAGCGGTGAAGCAAGCTGCGACTTACAGACTTAGCCGGAAAAAGTCGTTCAGCAGTTAATTACCGGTCACATCTTAACATCAGCCCCGCTCAGAT